GCTCACCACAACCTCTGCCTCCCAGGTTCAAGCGATTCTCCTGCCTCAGCCTCCCAAGTATCTGGGATTACAAGCATGTGCCACCATACCCGGCTAAATTTGTATTTCTAGTAGAGACGGGGTTTCTCCATGTTGGTCAGGCTGGTCTCAAACTCCCGACCTCAGGTGATCCACCCTCCTCAGCCTCCCAAAGTACTGAGATTCCAGGTATGAGCCACCATGCCCGGCCTCAACCTCATTAATTTTTATAATGGGTAAAATTTTTTCATTATATTAGCAAAAAAGACTCTGCACTGAATAAAGTATGGCATTCAAACCATTTGAAACGGCTTCCTGGCTGGGAAGGCACTGCAGTGGTCCCAGGGCAGTTTCTGGCCTTGGGAAAAACAAATGGAACTTCGGCCGTTCAGGAAGGGAAACTCAAGAATCCAGGCCTTGCGTTTCACTCTTTTTTTCTCTGACAGCTTGGAAGTGGAGTCATGCTTTATTTACTGAATATGCTCTTCTTGTTTCTTGTAACCATGGTGCTTTAGTTGAGTGTGTCTTATGTCAGACTACTGCTGAGCCAATATTTATCATTTTAGAAATTTCCATGAGTCATAAAACAAACCTGCAACCCGCTTGCTGTACCTTCTATGGGCGTTTCTTTCCTAGAGTTGTTTAAAGCAGAAAGAAAAAATGCTGAACCTAGAATCCAACACTTGGCGTTTATCAGAGCACTTACATACTTTCTCCTGCATGGAGGCTCCTCCTCTGAAATTTCAAAATCCATGCAGCTCAAATCCAAGGTGTGCCGCCTGCTGCCTGAGGTGCCCTGCCCACCCAGGAGTCCAAAATGCTCTCCAGAGGGCCAGGTCTGGGCTGAGAAAGAAAGGAGGCTTTAGAGGTTTGCAGAGAGGAAGTGACTCACTGGCTCAAGGGGTGAGAGGGAAGGCTTTCCACCGGACAGAGAACAAAAATGAGCAAGCAATTCCTTCCACCTCCAGCGTGGAAAATTTTACTAGGGGACCACCTCTGAATGGCTGGGCCTGAATTTACTGACCACTCACCTCCACTCCCCCTTCCAAAAAGAAAAGTAAAGAAAAAAAAAAGCAGGACCAATTATAAGATGTAGTGTGTTTGCCTCATTTACAGGTAAGGATGATGAAGCTAATGCTGTCTGCTCTTTTTGTGCCAATCAGCTCCCTTTCCCCAGACATGGATAGTTGGGAAAACCACAGTAAGTCTACAATCTAGAAAACTACAGCAATTTATTGCTTTTGGCATTAAAAAAAAAAAAAAGAGCCCCCTAGAGCCCTGTTTTGTCTAGAGCCCAAGGCCTAGAGTTTATAAATCAAAATTTAAAAGCCTGCCTTAGTATTACTAGAACAGGATACTTCACAAATTGCTAAGATTGTGACAGGCACTCAATTATCTCTTCTGCGGAGTGCAAGCATCACCTTTTAGAGTTAAAGGGGTCAAATTAGTGAATACCTTGAGTCTACAGATGAGAACAAGGAGTCCCAGAAGAGAACACCTTGCAGAGGTCACATGGCTAGTCAACAGTAGTGCTAGGCAAGAATAGAATTTGTGTCATCTCAGCTGAGGGCCCCAGCCCCTAGGCCATGGACCAGTTTTGGTCCATGGCCTTTTAGGAATGCGGTGAGTGAGCATAACCAGCTGAGCTTCACCTCCTGTCAGATCAGCGGCGGTGTTAGGTCCTCATAGGAGTGGGAACCCTATCGTGAACTGTGCATGCAACGAATCTAGGTTGCACACTCCTTGTGAGAATCTAACTAATGCCTGATAATCCGAGATGGAACAGTTTCATCCCAAAACCATCCTCCCACCACCATCCACCTGCTGCCCCATCCGTGGAAAAATTGTCTTCCACAAAACCAGTCCCTGATGCCAAAAAGGTTGGGGACCGCTGATCTGGAGTCAAATACCTCATTGAAGGACTGGTAATGGAAATACTGGAACAAAACAGTTACACTAAAAGGCACTCAAATTTCAAATCATGGCCATTGGCCTTTGGCTATCTGTTTCTGGTATTCTCCTTGAATACAACTCAGAGTTCCCTCAGCAGGAAGAGCTGGGTTTCTCTGGCTGACCATCATTTGACAACCCTCCTCCCACCCCGCAAAAGACAGGAAAACTAGGAAGTAAGCCAGAGCAGACCCAAAGGAAATAAAAAAACTAAAAGGAAACCCATTACATATCTATATCTATCTTATGTATCTTGGTCCACGGGGTCTAATTTTTTTTGTAGGAACATGGGGCATTCTCTTCTTCCAAACATTTAACTTTGAATAAACCCTCCAGCCATCTCTTCCATATTCATATTTGCCAACATAAGTGAGGAATGATGCCATTAACACTCACTCACTTCCTTCCTCTGTGGATGCTCCACTCATCAAAGATCCAGTAACATCTCCCTGGTGTGATTTGCTGCACCAGGTAGGATCCTGAGAATTCCCAAGAGAACCTGGGCCAAGTTTATCTTGGTGTTTCTGTTTTCACTTGTGACCTCCTTATTCATCTTCGTATTCCTGGTAGTTAACACGGCCACAGCTGGTACACAGTAGGACCTCAGGAAACATCCATCAAATCTAAATGAAAAAATGTTCAGCTAGATTTGACAGCGGCTTCCCATTGTGAATATAAACAAGATGCTTGTTTTAACACCAAATGCAAACTTTTTAACACTTAGCTCCTCTCTCTCATACGAGAAATTCTGGAGATCGTAATGAATAATGGGATGTGATGAAAGCAACCCTTTAAAAAGGTCAGGTTATGGCCGGGCACGGTGGCTCACGCTTGTAATCCCAGCACTTTGGGAGGCTGAGGCAGGCGGATCACAAGGTCAGCAGTTCGAGGCCAGCCTGACCAACATGGTAAAAACCCATCTCTACTAAAAATACAAAAATTAGCTGGGTGTGGTGACACGTCCCTGTAACCCCCACTAGAACCCTGGAGGTGGAGGTTGCAGTGAGATCACATCTCTACCTGGGAGACAGAGCAAGACTCTGTCTCAAAAAATAAAAATAAAATGGTCAGGTTGCTTCGACTCCTGCTTGGTTAGCAAGTATTAGTTTGAGCCATACGGCAGGCACGGTGGCTCACGGCTGTAATCCCAGCACTTAGGGAGACCGAGGCGGATGGATCACCTGAGGTTGGGAGCTTGAGACCAGCTTGACCAACATGGAGAAAACCTGTCTCTACCAAAAATACAAAATTAGCCAGGTGTGGTGGCGCATGCCTATAATCCCAGCTGCTCAAGAGGCTGAGGCAGGAAAATCGCCTGAACCCAGGAGGTGAAGGTTGCAGTGAGCCGAGATCACACCACTGCACTCCAGCCTGAGAGGCAAGAGTGAAACTTTGTCTCAAAAAAAAAAAAAGATTGAGCCATAGAAATTCTGATTTTTGTGGGTCAAAGAGTGTTGACTTATAAAATTATTAAACCAAATATAATAGAAAAGAATATAACTATAAATCCATTGCTTAATACCGAGGCTGTAATTCAGTTTTTTTTTTTTCCGTTTTAGTCTCGCTATATTGCCCAGGCAGGTCTTGAACTCCTGGGCTCAAGCTATCCTCCTGCCTCTGCCTCCCTAAGAGCTGGAATTACAGGCGTGAGCCACTGTGCCCAGCTATAATTCAGTTTTCTCACTAACCCACTTTTATCTCTCACCATATCTATATGGCCCTACACGACCAGAGGTAGGGGTTATCTTTCAGCCTCATCTGGGTCCACCTACCTTCGCTGTGCAGGCCCCAGCCACATTCTTCCTTCTGTTCTTTTAACATGCCATGCTCACTCCTTCCACCTGGGATGCTCTTCCTCCAGATTTTCACATGGATGGGTCCCTCTTGCCATTTAAGTCTCTGCTTAAATCCCACCCCTTCAGAGGAGATTTCTCTGAGCACTGATTTAAATAGTGCCCACTCTATTCTCTCTCACATTACGCAGTTTTATTGTCAACAACGCACCTATCATTCACAACCTTTTTTGTTGTTTGTTGGCCTGTGGTAGGCTAGAATTTAAACTCCAGGGCAACAGGAATCTCGTCTGTCTTATTCACAGCTCTGAACAGAGTAGGCACATTGTGGGCACAAAATAAATGTTGAAAACAGTGAATTCAATCATTTTTAAAAAGCAGCAGAATCAAAGTTGCAGTCATTATTTCTACAAATATTTCTTTATCTTGTTTTACTAACTTCACCATCCTGGAATTCCTTTATTCAGGGGTCCCCAACCCCTGGGCAGTGGCCCGTGGCCTGTTAAGAACTGGGCCACACAGTAGGAGGTGAGCAGTGGACGAGGGAGCCTTACTACCTGAGCTCTGCCTCCTGTCAGATCAGCAGTGGCATTAGATTCTCATAGGAGCATGAACCCTAAAGTGAACTGCGCATGCAAGGGATCTAGGTTGTGTGCTCCTTATGAGAATCTAACTACAGTTTCATCCTGAAACCATCAAACCCTGCCCCCACACTGTCCATGGAAAAATTATCTTCCACCAAATTGGCCCTTGGTGCCAAAAAGTTTGGGGACTGCTGCTTTATATGATATTGGCCCTTTTCCTTCCATCCTTCCTGCCTCAAACTTTTCTCTCATTCTTTGAATCTTTTCATCCCTTCTTGATGCCTTCTCAGTTAATTTCTTGACCTAATCTTTGGATTCATATGCTTGATTTTTGCATATATCCAGTCTGTTACCCAGCCCACCCACTGATTCCTTTAGTTCTACAATAATATTTTTCTTTCTTCCTCTTTCTTTCTCTTTCTCTCTTTCTCTCTTTCTTTCTTCTTTCCTTTCTTTCTTTCTTTTTCTTTCTTTTTTTTGTTGTTTTTGAGGCAGGGTCTTGTTCTGTCACCCAGGCTGGATTGCAGTGGTGCGATCTCAGCTCACTGCAACCTCTGTTTCCTGGGTTCAAGTGATTCTTGTGCTTTGGCCTCCCGAGTAGCTGGGATCACAGGCATGCACCACCACTCCTGGCTAATTTTTGTATCTTTTAGTAGAGATGGGTTTTTGCCACATTGGCCAAGCTGGTTTTGAACTCCTGGCCTCAAGCGATCCACGTGCCTCGGCCTCCCAAAGTGTTAGGATAACAGGTGTGAGCCACCACGCTTGGCTCAGTTCTATAATGTTTTATATTCCTAATGTCTCCAATTTTTCCATAGCTGCTTGTTCCTGCTACTGGCTTCCTAATATCTTTTCTTACCTCTCTGAGAATATTCACTGTGCTCATTTTAATCTCTTGTGAGTTTTTTTCTGTGTGAGTTTATTCAGCTTGCTGCCCTTCCTTCGCAGTGCTTGGATTCCTCTTAGTCTCATTATCCTCACTGGTAGACCCATACCTGTCCTGAGGATTTTCATCTCCCTGGGCTTGTGCACAATGCCTCAGGGAGAGGTGAGAACTGGTTCTGTTCCTGGAGAGTTTGGGGAGACAGGTGAGGGTGGACCAGGATGGAGAACCACCGATGTTATAATCTGGGCTTAACCTCATAACTCATCCTTGTGGATAACTTCCGCTTCCCCCATTCCTCTGCTCCAGGTTATAATTACTTAGTTCTCAGAGGGAGGGGAGGGGAGGAAAAGCCCTAGGCCTCAGTAGCCCACTAGCATGTGTTGGTATCACCTCCATATCCCAGCAGGGCTTCAGCACTGCCCCGACGTTACCTAGCAGCCTCTGGGATGGGCACTTTGCTGTTTCTGAGTTTGTCGTGCCCTGCAGTAGCAGTGGGTGAGGCAGAAGTCTGCAGAGAATAATGGGATGGGCTGGGGAAAAATGAGTCCCAACCAGAGAGCTTGCTACGACCAGCCCATTGCTGTCTGTGACATGTTTTTTCCTCCTCTGTCACTTTCCTCCCATTCTTAACTACCATGTGAACCAGTCCTTTCATTTTTTTTCTAAAGTGACTTATTCTGAGCTTTTAGAAAAGCTCTCTTGTTTTTATATGTTACAGTTTGCTGTGAAATTTCTAGTCTCTTCATTCCTACCCATCATGATTTTATGACTTGTGATTACACTCAATCCTACATATGTGCCGAAGAGTCTGAACTCATTTCATCTATCCTTAAAAAAATACTTGACTTCCTTGTTTGCCCCTTTCTGAATCTTTTGTGGCTCATTTTTCTTTCTCTCAAAGTATAACAACAAGCAGATCAGAAGTGTAAAAAGAATGTATCATGCTTATGAAAATGGGAAGACAACCTAGAGACATATGCACCCCTGAGACATAGTGCTGAATGAATAAATAAAACCAAGCGGCAGTCCTGCATGTATTGTTGAGACCATTTGTATTTTTTTTAATGCCCTATATTATAAAGGTCTGGAAGGTTCCACGTTAACTGATGAGCAGTGTGATGCCCACTCCGACCTTGGTGTGTATATATGTGTATGCAAGGAACTGTGGGACTGTTCATTTATCCTTGCCCTGGATTTCCTTCTTAGAACATTCCCAAAACTTTCCTGAAATGTTTAATTTATTAGATGGGCTTCAGGGCAGTCCATGAGCTCCCTGAGGTTAAAGACCAAGATTTGTGAGTAGGAAAGTCCATCTTTCCAGAGAGAGGGTTTATACTTTTTTTCTTGAAATGGGAGTCTCACACTGTTACCTGTGCTGGAGTGCAATGGCACGATCTCGGCTTACTGCAACCTCCACTTCTCAGGTTCAAGTGATTCTACTGCCTTAGCCTCCCAAGTAGCTGGTATTACAGGCAACACCAGCACACCCGGCTAATTTTTTGTATTTTTAGCAGAGACGGGATTTCACCATGTTGGCCAGACTGGTCTAGAACTCCTGATCTTCCGATCCGCCCACCTCGGCCACCCAAAGTGCTGGGATCACATGCGTGAGCCACCCCACCCGGCGAATTTATACTTTTTATAAGACTCCCAAAGGGAATATATGGCCCAAGAGAGGCTAAGAACCACTGATCAAGATAATCATACCACTTTCTACTCCATTATCTCATGATTTTAACTCAATAAGCATGCTATTATCCGAAAAACTTACATAATTGGTCAATCTTTGATGTTATAAAATAGTGGTATATGACTTTTGCTCTACCATAGGACTAACAGAGAAATCAATAATGTTATCATGTGGTACCGTATCCTTCCCATGAATATACTTAAATATATTTAGCCTTTTCCTAAAATAGATGCCAGGGCCCTTCAGCACCAGGCTACGGGCAGTAAGGAATGTTCAGAATGTATTTTCTACAGCTTCTATTTGTTTCACTTTGCCAATTAACTTCCTATGTGGTACTAAGCAAACAAGAAGACATACTGAATTTCTCTTGTTCGGCCACACTCACAAGTGCTGTGTCATGTGGCCTCATGGTAAAGGGCTTGGGATCAGATCTTGTACTCCTCTGGCTCTGGGCTCCCAAGGAATGTCTCTTCACCTTCCCCATCTTGGGATGAGGCCAGTGATAATATCTACCTATGGCAGTCATTACTGGTTATCTCCCCTTCTTCCTTAGTAAAGGAACAGCAATGTTTTAGCTAAGCACACAGCCAGTCAGAGAACAGACCATGTTTCCCAGCTTCCCTTGCAGCCATATGACTAAGTTCTGGTCAATGAGATAAAAGGAGAAATTCTATAAAGTACAGAGTGTGTGTTCTAGAAATATGATATAAAATCTTCTATGGTATAAGTTTCCAGAACTTTTTTTTTTTTTTTTTGAGACAGAGCCTTACTCTGTTACCTCCCAGGTCAAGCAATTCTCCTGCCTCAGCCTCCTGAGTAGCTAGGACTACAGGCACATGCCACCACACCTGGTTAATTTTTGTATTTTTAGTAGAGACAGGATTTCACCATGTTGGACAGGCTGGTCTCGAACTTCTGACCTCAGGTGATCTACCTGCCTCAGACTCCCAAAGTGCTGGGATTACAGGTGTGAGTCACCCGTCAGCCAGTTTCTGGGATCCATAAAAAAGGGGATGCATATGCTGGGCAACATAGGGAGATCTTGTTTGCACACATATATTTTTATTTAAACCCTCTTGTTTAAATAAAAATATTTAAAAATTAGCTAGGTCAGTGGTGTGCACCTGTGGTCCCAGCTACCTGATAGGCTGAGGTGGGAAGATTGCTTGAGCCTGGGAGGCTGAGGCAGAAGTGAGCCATGATCACACCACTGCACTCCAGACTGGGTGACAGTGAGACTCTGTCTCAAAACAAAGAGGATGCCCTTTTTAATCTTTTTTCCCTCCTTTTTACTGCCTAAAATGTGGAAGTAATCGCTGGTGCTTTTAACAGTCATCCTGGACTATGAAGTAACCTTAGGAAGACAATCTATGCACAACAAAGCTAGGTGGGCATGGTGGTGATGTGAGCTTGTGGTCCCAGCTACTCAAGAGGTTGAGATTGGAGGATTGCTTGAGGCCAGGTGTTTGCACAACGGCACTCCAGCCTGAGTGACAGGGTGAGACACTGGCATAAAAAAAAAATGAAAGAGAAATTGGGTTTTGAA